GCACAAACGTTCATGAGAAAGACGCCAATGGAAGTGTTATAGAGGAATTGATGGAGGAGCAGAATCTTGTGTGTTTGAATGACGGTTCTGGTACAAGGTTTAATGTTGTGAATGGGTCCTCCTCAGCGTTGGATCTTACCCTGGTGTCTAGCGCATGTGCAGGGGGCTGCCAGTGGAGGGTTAGGACAGATACAACCCTGGGGAGTGACCATTATCCTGTTTTGAGCTCAATTGGGGGTAAGGTGAAGGGGATAAGCAGAGAGGGTTTGGGGAAATGGGCTTTCCATAGAGCTAATTGGGATGAGTTCCAAAAGTTATGTGAGGAGGCTGCAGATGAAATGGGGTGTCAAGGCAGCGTAGATGAAATGAATAAACAGATTACGGAGGGAATGATAAATGCTGCACGGAAGAGTATTCCAAAGAGCAAGCCAAAGAATAACAGAGTTCTGGTTCCATGGTGGACGCAGGAGTGCCGGGTAGCGGTCAAGGAGAGGAATAAGGCATTTAGGAAGTTTAAGAGAACGCTCAGTATTCAGCATCTGGTGGAATACAAGAAAGCGCAGGCAATTGTTAGGAGGACAATTAGAAGAGCAAAAAGGTCTAGCTGGAGGGAGTTTTGCTCAAAAGTGGGGAGAACAACACCAGTGGGTGAAGTCTGGGGAATGGTAAGAAGGATGGGTGGAGACAGGCGTGAGTGGGATTACCCAGTATTAGTGACTCAGAGTGGCACAGCGATATCGGACAGGGATAAGGCAGAGGTCATGGCCCAAAGTTTTGTAAAGGTGCATAGCTCAGATAACTTATCAGAAGTGGCTAAAAGCAGGAGAGATCAAACCAGAGATCAGAACCAGGAAGTATTTGTAACTAAGGAGGATTTAAATCAAGATCAGGATTCCCTTTTCTCCTTGGAGGAGATGGACAGGGCAGTTAGAAGGGCAAAACAAACATCTCCAGGTAAGGATCAGATATGTTATGCAATGATTAGAAGGCTAGGGATAGAAGCCCGTAAGAAACTGCTGCTATTGTATAATAGAGTTTGGACTGAAGGAAAGGTGCCAGGTGCGTGGAAAGAGGCTGTGATAGTGCCGATAAGGAAGCCTGGAAAGGACCCATCAAAGCCATGTAGTTATCAGCCAATAGCCCTTACCTCCAACCTCTGTAAAATTATGGAGAGAATGATTGTGGAAAGGTTGTCTTTTGACCTTGAGAGACGAGGAGTTTTAGCTGGTTGTCAGAGTGGCTTTAGGAAAGCGAGAAATACGTGTGACTCTATTATTAGGCTTGAAAATGAGATAAGGAAAGCTCAGGCTTGTAAGGAGGCAGTGCTGGCAGTGTTTTTTGACATTGAAAAAGCCTATGACATGATGTGGAAAGAGGGGTTATTAATCAAACTGCATAGGTTGGGTGTTAGTGCAAGAGCTTTTAACTGGATCCGAGACTTTCTTGATGGGAGGAAAATTGAGGTGCGCATTGGATCAGCTTGCTCCAATCAATATTGTGCTGAAAATGGAACTCCTCAAGGCAGTGTGATAAGTCCTCTACTGTTCATTCTTATGATTAATGATGTGTTTGATGCAATGCCTGGGAGTGTGGGTAGATCTTTGTTCGCAGATGATGGGGCGGTATGGAGCAGGGGGAGAAATGTAGATCATCTAATAGGCAAGAGTCAGCGAGCCATTAATGATGTGGTGGAGTGGGGACTAGACTGGGGCTTCAGGTTCTCAGTTGAGAAAACTAAAGTGGTTTTCTTTACAAGGAAGAGAGTGAGGGAAGATATGAAGTTGAGGTTATACGGTGAAGAGATTGAGAGAGTTAGTGCATTTAAGTTTTTAGGGGTTGTACTGGACTCTCGTTTAACATGGAAGGAACACATAAAACGGATTGAGGAGAAGTCTAGTAAGGTTATAAATGTTATGAGGTGTTTGGCAGGAAGAGACTGGGGAGCCAGCTGCTCCGCACTGAAACGCCTCTATCAGGCCTTGATAAAGTCAGCATTTGACTATGGTTGTGTGGTGTACGGATCAGCATCCCCATCCATACTGAAGAAACTGGATGTGATACAGGCCCGTGCCTTGAGGCTGTGCTGCGGAGCCTTTAAGACATCTCCGGTGAATGCATTGCAGGTAGAGATGGGGGAGATGCCACTAGATCTGAGAAGGAAGCAGATAATGATGAACTACTGGGTTCATTTACAAAGCCATGGGGATTCTCATCCCACAAAACAGACATTGAGGGACTGCTGGGAATATGGCAAGGCCCAGAGAGATCATTTTGGGAAAGTGGGGGACCAGATGGCTCAGAACTATGGTATTTATGATCTTCAGATTAGTTCTGCTTTAGTGTTTCCTGCAATACCCCCATGGAAGTTGGCGTGCCCAGGAGTAGATTGGCACCTGCTGGACTTGAAGAAGAAGGAAAAAGGGAGGGTTGATCTGGTTGCAGCTTTTGAGTACCACGTATCTCAACTCTACTCAAGTCATATTCACATCTTTACGGATGGGTCAAAGAGTCCAGAATCTGAGGTTACAGGATTCGGAATAGCGGTGCCAGGAAAAGGAGTTGGTATTAACAGACGAACATCTAATGGTTTGAGTGTTTACACAGTGGAGATGGTTGCTATATTAGTGGCGTTAAGGTGGGCAGAGCAAGCTAAAAAGAGTAGGGTTTTAATATGTTCTGGTTCAGCGTCTGTGCTTTCTAGTGTCCAGTCTATACAATCACAGGGTCGACAGGATATTTTGTATGAGACTCTATTGACAGTTACTAGAATTCATCAGCAGGGGAACACGGTGCAGTTTCTGTGGGTACCATCACATTCTGGTATTCTAGGTAATGAAGTAGTGGACAGACTGGCAAAGGGTGCACTGAATAAGGCAAGGGTAGAGATGAGTGTGAAAAGTAGCAAGAGTGAAGCAAAGAGTGTGGTGTGGAAACAAATAATTCAGGAATGGCAGACACGTTGGGAGACAGGGGCCTCAGGAAGGCATTTTTATCACATACAGAAAGAGGTGAGCGATGGCAGAAGGCAGGGGGGCCATCGGAGGGAAGAAATTGGTCATGACTAGGCTTAGATTGGGGCATTGTGCACTGAATAAAACACTGTGTATCATAGGGAAGCATGAGACGGGGCTCTGTGAGGGGTGTGAAGAGCAGGAGGAGTCTGTACAACAATTCAGACACACATACAGACCACACCTACAGCACAGACAGACACAATACAGTCACACATACGACAACATACAGAAAGTACCAGACACAATTCAGACCACTCATACAGACACAATACAGACACACGTACTGACACACATACAGACACGTACAGACACACATCAGACACGTACAGACACAGTAAGACACCACATACAGGACACACATACAGACACACATACAGACCACAACATAAGACCTACAGAACATACAGTCCACATCCAGACAATACAGACACACTACAGACACACATACAGGACACATACAGACACATACAGAACACACAGACAACACAGACACATATCAGGACACTACAGATCCACATAAGACAACATACAGACACACATACAGACACACATACAGACATACAGAACCACATACTGACACACGTACAGACCACATTCAGAAAATAAGACACAAATAAGACAGTACAGACACAGTAAGAACATACAGCAACACAGCTACATACAGACACACATACAGAAACACGTACAGGAACACATAAAGCAGTACAGACACAATACAGAACACTACAGGACCATACAGACACAATAAGTTAACACATTACAGACACATACAGACACACATACAGACACACATACAGACACGTACGACCCACACATACAGAAAATACAGACACACATACAGCACACATACAGCACCACATACAGACAAACATACAGACACATAAGACCTCTACAGACAATACAGGACACCACATACAGACCCAACATTACAGACACACATACAGACACATACAGACACACATACAGACCACACCATACAGACACACACAGACACTTAAGAAATACAGACACACATACAGGCACACATAAGACAAACCAACACCAGACACATACAGGACAATACTGACACAATACACAAGAACACGTACAGACAACGTACAGGACCACACATAAAGACTATCTTACAGACACACATACAGAACACATTATGCACAGTACAGACTCACATACAGAACACATACAGGCCACATACCAGCACACATACAGCCCGTACAGACACATATAGACACACATACAGAAACCACATACAGAACAATACAGTACAGACACACTACAGAACCAATACAGGACCACATACAGAACACATACAGACAGTACAGACACACATACAAGACACACATACAGGACACGTACAGAAACCCCACATACAGCACACTACAGACACATACAGAAACACATACTGACACGTACAGACACACAAAGACACACCCTACAGACACACATACAGACCCACATTAACAGACCACACATACAGAATCATACAGACACACATACGACACGTACAGGACACACATACAGACACATAGAGACATCATACAGACACGTACTGAACACATACAGACACACCATAAGACCAACATCAGACAACATAAGTACAGACACTCATACAGACTACACATAAGTCACAAATACAGACTCACATACAGGACACGTACAGACACACATACCCAGACACAATACAGGACACATCAGCCCACACATACAGACCACTATACAGAACACATACAGACACACATACAGACAACCTACGAAACGTACCAGACACACATACCCAGAAACCATACAGACACACATACAGGACAAATACCAGACACCATACAGACACACATACAGACACCTACAGGACAAATACAGACACTATACAGACACAATACAGACAACAAATACAGACACACATACACGATACTACACTACACACATACAGACACCAACATACAGACACACCACAGACACATACAGACCAATACAGACATCCACATAAAGTCA